TGAATTGATACAAAGTTCTTTTTACAACTTGGCATTGTTCTCTGGGTGTACTTCTCAGAGCATAGGAAATAAATGTGTTTAAATAGGATAACCTACTGATGCCTCTCTGTTTAAACTTTATTAAATATAGTGTGATCCAACTTTGTTTTCTTCCAAGTAAACAGTCAGTTGATCTTTTACTCCTTATTCAATCACTATTATTTCACCAATTTGGAATTTTTGAATTGTATTCAAAATTATCTTTTTGAGTAGCTATTGCATGTGTAGGCTCTGTATTTCTGTCCCCAATAATCTACTAATGATGCATGACCTAATGGGCTCATCATAGACTGTGCTCTTTTAGCTCTGCATTGAAAATTTTATTGATGGGTATTGAACTCAAGGTTAGCCATTGAGAGCCATTTCTTGGACTTGTATACTTGGAGGTACTTATATTCTGGCTATCTGATGATTCTGGAAGAACTATATCAAGAAAATGCATTATGCAGTAAGAAAAAATTGAAAAGTAATATATAAAGAGATGAAGAAAAGTAAAGAGAAACTCAGGAACAGCCTCAAGCAATGTTTAACCTCCTGAGTCTAAACAGCTCAAACACCTACACCATACCGCTCCTGTAGTTTCATTGTGAAGCCAGTAAGTACAGTATCGTTCATATACTATTATCTATTATGAGTTGTTTCCATTTATACTGCACTATAAATGATATTTTAATTATGGTAACATTTACATTTTTATAATATGTTGCAGCCTACACATGATAAATTTATCATCTCACAGTCTGGAGGCTAGACATCAATGAATGAGGAGCACAGCTGGTTTCTTCTGAAGTCTCTTTCCTTTGTTTACAGATGACTGTCCTTTATTTTCACCATTTCTGTCACCTGGTCTTCCCTCTGAGTATTTCTGTGTCAGAATGCCATCTTACAGAGACACTAATATTGGATTACAGTCTAATTTTAACTTAATTACCCATTCAAAGCCCATATCTCCAAATATTATAGTCTGAGGTACTGGGGGGTTAAGAGTCCAATATTATGAATTTTGAAGGGTTAATAACACTGTTGCATGTTGACATTTTTAGTTTATTTTGTCTTTGCCAAATCTCTATAGCTTACTTGACTCACTGGCTGACTGAATGACTGTTATAACCAACTGCCTCCTCAGCTTTACTTATTAATTCTTAATACTAGACTTCTCAACAGTACTTGCATAAAAAGGAACTAGACAGCTACCATTAACCCGCTCTCTGGCCTTAGAACCAGATGGAGAATAATCTGGCTATATTTAGCTAATTCATAGGGAGAGGAAGGTTGCAAGGGTGTCTAGCTGACTGGTACTTTATCGAGCATGTGCTTCTTTCTTGACTTCATAAACTCCAGCCCTCATTGAAGAAAATTCAGATTTTATAAGCAGATAGCCAATGTCCATCTTTAATGGAAGGGTGACACAAATTAAGCAAAGCAAAAATGTTTATTCAGGCCAAATGAAGATTGTCTCCCAGACACATACTACCTATGCTCCCCCAAATACTGTGTGCTGAGGTCTTTCAGATTTCAAGGTGATTTTAAAGGCAAAAAGTTGCAAATGAAGAAAGGGAGAGAATGAGTTTAATGTTCAGTAGTTAGATGTACTTGAGGAGTGGGTGGGCAATGGTGTGTGACCAAACTGTCCAGGCACGTTAACATTCTTCAATATTCCCTCCTGTCATATCATCTCGGTTAATGAGACTTTGACAAGAGGATAAAATGTAATTGTTGTCTTCCTTGGTGGGTCTGATCTACAGCCTAATAAAAAACAAAGCCCTTTCCTGAACTTTGGGAGAAAAAAAGGGAACAAAGATGATCAAGAAACAGGAATAGGTGCACATTCTAATGTTGGTGGTCACTTGCAGTGTGCCAAAGTTCACTTTACTTTAGCTGCCTCTTGTCTCCATTTTTGTAATAAATGAACTCTTTCAGTTTTAAAAATTTCATGCCAGAAGACTAACATCTTTGTCTCCAGCATAGTTGCAAAGCTGGTACTCAACTAATAAGATGCAGAAAGTTCATAAACTTCAATGAATATCTAAGCAAAACTGAGTCTCTAGTTGAGTTTATGTTCCTGAAGAGAAATTTGTAGAATATGTCAGATTCTCAGTCCTCAACCCCTTCTCTTTCCTCCAAAGAAAGCAGATTTAAATTATGACCTGTCCATAAACCCCATTTCCTTGGTTTGGAAAGTAGAAAAATAGAACTGTTCTCACAACTCCATTGGTGTCATGTAGTGTGGGGTATCCTCAGGGCCAGGAGTGTATGGCAGGCTTCCAGATAGAGACCCAATGGGACCTACCTGTCTTTTTTTGGTTTTCCTCAGGACAAGATGGCAGACCCTTCATTCCCAGCACAGTGCAGAAGCACTGCACTAAGAAAAAATCCCAAGGGCTCTGAAGAGAGAGAGAGCAAAAGCTCACAAAAATGTAACTACTATATGCCTAAATTCCAGTACCATACCTATCCTAGAACTTTCCAGGGAACTTGCAAGTACTAAGTGAACTGAAAGCTAAAAAGTAGAGTTTCCAGGGAAAGGAGAGGTACATTGGAAAAAGCTGAGAGTTTGAACACTTGGTGTAAGTCCCTAAAATTCTTTTGGTTGGCTCTTTCCTGGATCCTGGATAGTTTCCTCAAACATGTACTTATCTCTGGAGCTTTCTTTCTGTGTCACTCCTTTCTTCACAGTACTCTGCCCTTCAAATGCTAGCTTTGGTCTCCCTGAACTCCTTGCTCCATTTCGTTTACTCAGGAAGGGAAGGGTGCTGGGCTCTGCCTGGAAAATCTCAGGCAATAAACTGGGGTAGCTGGCGGGGGGCTCATCTCACTTGTTTCTCATCTCCCAGGGAACATTGTCCTCCAACTGTCTGATGTTCAAGGTCTTGAAGAGCCATCTATTCATACAGTTTGTCTGCTGTGTTAGTTCTTTGATATGAGAAGATAAATTTGTTTTGTTACTCCATCCTGTCTGAAAACATAAGTTCCTCAGGTATTTATATATACACCAGATAATAGAGGCAAAGGCATATTGTATGATAACTATATTTTACTCTCTTGGACCATTTATCCACTTTGCTCTGTTGCTCTTGGTACTGTCACTTTCAAAAGCAGGTGTTTGTAGCTGTTCTGATGACACCATAATCCCTTACAATCTCCAGTCCTCTCCTGAGGCTATGAGTCCTTGGGGGCTCCACCACCTTGTCTGTGGGAGTGGGGCAGATTGAAGCATGCATATCTTGCTTTGGAAGAATAAGTCAAAAAGGTGTAACCAGCGTCTTGGGCAGAAGTCTTGATCTGCTAGATACGCAGGTAGTCTCTCCAGGGTTGTGATACCTGTAGTTCTCTCATGTAAAGGTATTGGGAGGTGATAGCTGCTACTTGTCTGCCAGACACTGGACCTGGCATTAATACCTTATTCTTGACCCAACCATAGTGGTGCAAGTGTTAGTCTGCTGCTGCATGATAATGGAGCCATATGCAAAGGCCTGGGTTCAGATCTTGGATTGACAGGAACATGTGAGCATGCCCACAGGTGCACCATGATCCTGGCTTGCTAGAAGGCTGAGGGGATCATGGCATGGCAAGACCCTGCTGGGAAGCATGCTCTCTCTCTCCCTCTGTCTCAAGAAAAAACTAACTGAAACTAAATATGGCTTGAGAAAAACAGGCACATACCCACATGAAAAAAATCTTAGCTTCTCACCTGTCAAAACAATCCCCTACTCTGGGTGAGGTAATCTGCACAAGTCCTTTCTAAGAACCTCATTGCCAAATCAACCCTCTTCTTCCTACAGGAAAGCCCAAGATCTCCAAGAGGTGAGGAGGGAACTCAAAGTACATTCAGGTTGCTGCAATTTAGGACACTGACACAGACAGTACTGGTACCTTGGTGTTCCTAGGACACATCCCAGGTAACAGAAAATTGGCCAATAAACTATAGATCCCAAATGGGTCCCAGATAGATGTCGAACAGAGGTCTGTGGGACTGGATTCCAGGTCTTTCCGTGGCTATTTGTATCAGCCTTCACATATTGGTATCTTGTCCCCGTGGAGCAGTGAATGGGACCCCTTTAGGGGACTAAGGTGCCAGTCCCAGTTAGTCAAGCAGTACTGTGTGATTGCTGCATGGCCATACTCCCAGGGTAGTGAGTTCTCATTTTCTCTCTCACTGTCTTTCTCTGTCTCTATGGCCAGCACACAGGCCATGTGGTAAAAACCTTAAAAAACAAACTACAGTAAATCCATACCATGGATTACAACTCAGCAATAAAAATTAACAGGGTGTTGATACACAAAACACCATGAAAGAATCTGAAGTGCACTGTATTAAGCAAAAGATATCAAATTCAAAGACTATATACTGTCTATTCCATTATATAATATTCTAGAAAAGGCAAACCTATAGACATTAAGAATAGATAGTGGATGCCAGAGGTTAAGAACGGTGAGTTTAGCTTTAAAGGGGTAGCATGAAGAAATTTTGGGGATGGTAATCAAACAGTTCTGTATATTGACTGGTGTGCTAGTTACACAAATCTACAAGATTGTCAAAACTTATAAAACTGCACCAAATGAAGTTTTCTCTATAAACATTAATACATAAATTAAAACTTTTTCTTTTTAAAATTTTTTACATTCATTCACTATACATCATTACAGAATTAGATTTCCATGTTTTAACTTGAATATCTGCATTTCTTTCATTCCCATAATGAACTTTTTCATACATTTATTGTTCATTTACATTTCTTTTTGTATTATATTACTGCTCAGTTCTTTAGCCCATTTTTTTCTTTCTACTCATTTAATAAGCTTCTTATAGGGGCCAGCAGGTAGCATGGTGAAGGTGCTGGACTCTCACACCCCCCCCCGGTCCGTTAGCCTCCAGTCGGGACTGGAACCACAGAATCCGCCATGTGGGATCCAGTGCCTTAACTACCAAGCCACTTGCTGGTGTCATTCAGGGACTTTAATGTAATTGGTGAAAAGAATGTGATATGAATTTTGTTTCAATTGTGTTTATTCTGATTTATCTATAATGTTTGTCATTGCTTTAGTAATTTTGATGAACTCGGTTTCTTGTCTCCACTCTCTCTATCACTTCTTTTTCTCTGCCTGAGACTAGATGGCGGTGTCAGATCATGTCTTTTACCGATAGGCTCTATCGCCTAGTGCCTAGTATTTTATAAGTGGACCCGCAGCGCAGCTTTCCTTTGGCAGCTGTCTAATCTGTGCAGCGGCCGCACAGAGGACTCCCCAGCAGTCTCTCACCTTTCGAGAGCCCTGGGCGGAACCGCGCGACTCTGGACTACTGGGGAGAGTTCACGTTGGACCCCCAACCTTCCGCGCGCGACTCGGCCAATCCTGAGGGGCTAGTCGAGAGCATGTCGGGAAAGGGAGTTTCCACTCCGGGAGCCGACTGGTCCGACCGCGGGGCTCTACGCATGCCTGGCGCTGCAGCTGTTTTCGTCGGCATCCGCCTTCCCTCTTCACTCATCAGGCCTCGCGTGGGAGGCCGTCTCGAGGCCGCTCAGTCTACACTTCTGGGAGTGGTGGGTAAGCCTTGGAGGGTTGGGCGAGGACCGAAGGGGACCCCTTAGGGCTAGGAGGATGGGCGGGAGGCCGGGAGAATCCTCGTGGATCCTTGGCGCCCTCGGAGCTCAAGGGATGGCGAGGCGGCAGCGTCTCTGATGACTACCAGCCTGACCCGCACGTGCCTAGCCCTGCGCCGAGCTGGTGGCAAGGCTTGCGCAGTTCCACAGCGGGGCGGGGGGAGGAGGCGCTGTGCGCCTGCGTCCTTTGTGTGGCACGCTCTGGGGTGAGCTCGTGCGCCTGCGCGACGGTGCCTGCGGGCGCGGTCCGGGTGGAAAGGTTCGTCTGCCCCTGTGGGTTCCGCTATCTGCCTTCTGGGCAGGCTCCATCCCTTACTCTCCTTGCAGGCTTGTAGATTCTTAGCTGCTTGCGGCCAGGCCCGTAACTACTGTTTCAGATTTGGCGTTCCTGCCCTGACTTGCCCCAGCTTTCAGGAAGGACCTTCAAAAATTTTCTATTTTAGTTGTTTGCTAGAAGAGAAACTTAGGGTTTGTTTCTGAAGATTAGTGACTGGTTCAGGATCACAGTTTGTTAATGTTCCCTGGTGGTCTGGTGGTTAGGATCACAGCTTGTTAGTGGTTAAGAGTAAGTCCTCACTCCCAAGCCAGTATTACCTACTCAAGTCAATACAGTGTTTCTTATAAAACATCGTTCTGAGGAATAGCAATGAAGTTTGATAAAGAAATCAAAACAGATAATTTTTTCCCTCAAAGCACTGACTTCTATTCACTAGCCAAGGTTAAGTAACATCCGTAGGAACATTGAGAGCTAAGGTTTGAGTATTTTTTAAAAATAATATTAGTGAAATGATAATGATCCTTCATTAGGTGTGTTAACTTGTTTAGCCACTGTTGTCATTTTATATTTTTTGTGAACACCAAGGCACAGTTAAGCTGTTAAAATCCTTAGGAAAGAAATATTTATGGAAGAATAATTGCCAGAGAACTGTGTAGTTATATTACAGCCATATTAGTCTCTCAGCATTCCCCCACCCACACTGAAGTTGAGGTCAAAGGGACATTGGCATTCTCTCACAGGGAACATTTTGCATAGTGGGCACATATAGCTTTTTAGGGGAGAGGAATTTAGGAGCTGGGAGGCAGGCCAGGTGGATCATGATCTCATTCCTGTTCTAGCCCAACTGTCTTTTTGGAGTTGTGTACTACCATTCAAGAACAGCACAAAATGAATGAGGTAAGTTGTGTGTTTTTTCATTCCCACCTTTTTTCTATAGTGACATTTGTAAGAGTCAGTTTGTTGAGAAATTAATAAATGAAAGTTTATGGAAAATATGTAGTAACAAACAGATCAGTAGCCGGGCCAAGTTGTTATGTATCATCCTATGATTTTAGGGACACTTATTTAAGCTGTAGATCTGTCTTTGATGTTTCTGACAACCAGAGCAGAAAGTAGTTTGGATACATACAGATACATACAAAAGATAGATCTGGTTTGGAGTGTCTGCCAAGTTTCTTCTTGAAGCTGCTGACTTGGTACTAACTAGATAACGTTTTGCCATGTTCACAAAGTATTTATTAAGTCTTATAAAAAATTAGAGTTAATTTTTCTTTTATTAAAATTACTAGAGAGTACATGCATTCAACAGAGAGTAATAAAGGAGGGAGAGAGAGAAAGCACCTCACAGTCAGGTGTGACTACCCTGCAGTTCCTTCCCCTCCATTTCTCCATCCTGTATTTAGGAAATATATTCATTTTAGAGGATTATTTCTTACAGACTTTAGATTTTGAGATGACATTTTTAGCTCTTTAAAATGTCAGTTCATTTCATTTTCTCATTAGCAAATTGCCTGTTCAAATTTTTGCTTATTGTCTTCTGACTTCCACAGATGCGACTGAAATCTTGCTGTTAGTTTTACTATTCAAATGGTCTGCCCTTTATTCTTTTTCAATTTATATAGAATTTTTACTATGCTAGAGATTAGTAGGAATAATTTATTTTTTAATTTTTTGCTTTGGGACATTTGTGCTCACAGGGGAGTGGGGGATAAAAATCAACCCCAGGGGAATGGCTATGCCATAGTCCCCTCTCCTTTCTGTAAGTCCTCACTCCCAAGCCAGTATTACCTACTCAAGTCAATACAGTGTTTCTTATAAAACATCGTTCTGAGGAATAGCAATGAAGTTTGATAAAGAAATCAAAACAGATAATTTTTTCCCTCAAAGCACTGACTTCTATTCACTAGCCAAGGTTAAGTAACATCCGTAGGAACATTGAGAGCTAAGGTTTGAGTATTTTTTAAAAATAATATTAGTGAAATGATAATGATCCTTCATTAGGTGTGTTAACTTGTTTAGCCACTGTTGTCATTTTATATTTTTTGTGAACACCAAGGCACAGTTAAGCTGTTAAAATCCTTAGGAAAGAAATATTTATGGAAGAATAATTGCCAGAGAACTGTGTAGTTATATTACAGCCATATTAGTCTCTCAGCATTCCCCCACCCACACTGAAGTTGAGGTCAAAGGGACATTGGCATTCTCTCACAGGGAACATTTTGCATAGTGGGCACATATAGCTTTTTAGGGGAGAGGAATTTAGGAGCTGGGAGGCAGGCCAGGTGGATCATGATCTCATTCCTGTTCTAGCCCAACTGTCTTTTTGGAGTTGTGTACTACCATTCAAGAACAGCACAAAATGAATGAGGTAAGTTGTGTGTTTTTTCATTCCCACCTTTTTTCTATAGTGACATTTGTAAGAGTCAGTTTGTTGAGAAATTAATAAATGAAAGTTTATGGAAAATATGTAGTAACAAACAGATCAGTAGCCGGGCCAAGTTGTTATGTATCATCCTATGATTTTAGGGACACTTATTTAAGCTGTAGATCTGTCTTTGATGTTTCTGACAACCAGAGCAGAAAGTAGTTTGGATACATACAGATACATACAAAAGATAGATCTGGTTTGGAGTGTCTGCCAAGTTTCTTCTTGAAGCTGCTGACTTGGTACTAACTAGATAACGTTTTGCCATGTTCACAAAGTATTTATTAAGTCTTATAAAAAATTAGAGTTAATTTTTCTTTTATTAAAATTACTAGAGAGTACATGCATTCAACAGAGAGTAATAAAGGAGGGAGAGAGAGAAAGCACCTCACAGTCAGGTGTGACTACCCTGCAGTTCCTTCCCCTCCATTTCTCCATCCTGTATTTAGGAAATATATTCATTTTAGAGGATTATTTCTTACAGACTTTAGATTTTGAGATGACATTTTTAGCTCTTTAAAATGTCAGTTCATTTCATTTTCTCATTAGCAAATTGCCTGTTCAAATTTTTGCTTATTGTCTTCTGACTTCCACAGATGCGACTGAAATCTTGCTGTTAGTTTTACTATTCAAATGGTCTGCCCTTTATTCTTTTTCAATTTATATAGAATTTTTACTATGCTAGAGATTAGTAGGAATAATTTATTTTTTAATTTTTTGCTTTGGGACATTTGTGCTCACAGGGGAGTGGGGGATAAAAATCAACCCCAGGGGAATGGCTATGCCATAGTCCCCTCTCCTTTCTCCTCTTGGGATTTTGGGCATACAAACACATGTGCTGTGTGTTTTTCCAGCCACTGGGTTCAGAACACAAGCTTCACAGTGGGCCATGTGGGATCCAACCATCTTAACCACCATGCTATGGCTGGCCCTGGGAATAATTTCTTTCAGTTGTAGGAGTAATTTTTTTTCTATTTTAGGGATAGGAGTTCTTTATCCTTTTTTTCTTTGTTTTGATCTTTTGATAAAGATGGGCTCTTAATATGATATGGCCCTGGCAGTTAATAGAATTTATGTCCTGGTTAAGAAATCTTTGCCTATTTTGAGATCATGAAGAAGGATTTACTATGACGTTTTCTAAAATTTTTGTTGCTTTATTTTTCAAATTTACATCTGTATAAAATTAATCCTTGAGCAGTGCAGGAGTTTGGGACACTGATTGCCCATATAGTTAAAAATTCCTATGTAACTTTCGACTTTCAAAGAGATACTAATAATCTACTGTTCACTGGAAGCTTTACCAATAATGTAGATGGCCAATTGACATATATTTTCTGTGTTATATGTATTATAATCTTGTATTCTTACAATAGAGGAACAGAGAGAAAAGATATTATTAAGAAGATCATAAGGAAGGGAAAATACATTTACATTTATTTAAAACTGTGAATAAGTGCACTCATATTGGGTTGTTGGAAAAATCATGATGCATAGAAAAACAGAAAGATAGGTCACAACTTTTCCGACAATCCAGTAGTTGAAACCTGTGTTATTCAAGTCAGTTGTAATGTCTAAAATGAATTTCTGTTCAAATGGCTGTAAATACTTATTACAGTTAAACTTGCACCATTTATTAAAATGATTACTCTTCTGTTCCCTTTGTCATGAATCAAATGACTATATATATATAATTATTTATTTTATTTTATTCATTCATTCATTTATTTTTTTAGTTTGACCAGAGAGAGACAGAGGATGAGAGTGAGGAGAGGAAGTGAGAAAGCAAGCCAACAGATTCAGGACTCAAACCCTGGTCAGCCATGTGGGAGCGTCCAGTGCCTTAACTACCACGCCACCTGCTGGTCCCCCAAGTGACCATATATTGAGTCGTTTAGGTCTGTCTTGGGGCTCTCTCTTCTGTTCCATTGTTCCATATGATAATACTTAGGACTATATTGGGTGTTATCCTAATTATGGTACATTTGTTATACTTCATATATGATAATATATCTCCTGGCTTTACTTTTCTTTTTAAGATTTCTAAGTCTATTTTTAGTTCATTGCAGTTCTACATATTTTAGAATTAACTGGACTGATATCTATCAAATTATCTGTTGGGATTTTGTTGGTGATTGCTGTGAATCTTTAAAACAGCATGAGATGAACCGAGCTGTTAATTACTTCACTTATTTGGGTTATCTTTAGTTTCCTTCATTATATTATGCAATTCTCTTTGTAGAGAGATTTTCATATTTTTATGATATTGTTAACTTTTCAAAAGATTAAATTTTATGAATCTGCTAGTTTAAGGAAATAATCTGAGATTTGTTATATTGAACTCTTACCAGTTCCTAAAACCATACTTTTACTTGAATTTTCTGTATACATTATTGTTTTTACCTTATTACTTTAAGAACACAGAAAAATATTGAATAAAATTGGAAATAGTAAGCATCTTTATTTTGATTCTAACTTTTAAGTTGAACACTCACCAATCAGCATGTTTGGTATAGATGTTTGTAGAAATCTTTTATCACATTGAGAAAATTTCTTTCTACTCCTAGTTTGCAAAGAGGTTTTCTTATATTATGCTTTTCTTCATATACTAATATGATGATATGATCATCTTTTTTTTTAACATTTTCCATCAAATTTTATTTTTAAAAAGCAGCAAATCAACACTATAATTCAAGAATCTATTTAAACATGCACCTGACTATGAAGAACATCTGGTATGGAGTGAAAAAGGTTTTCCAAAAATCCTTGAAATAGATACCCAAATAACAAACCACTTCTGCAATAATTAAATGAAATTCTAAATAAGAACTAAAAATTTATTGCTGTGAAACAAATCTGTATGTAGTACAGTAGCATGAATCTCAGGTATTAAGTATAATCATTTGAATCAAATTAAGTAGTTGAAAATGTAATAGGACATTTTTTGAGACATTAGAAAAGTCATGCATTTTTGCGTTACAAAAATAGAAAAATGCACATGACTTTTTTGTGTATGATTTTGTGTGTATGATTTTTTATATATGATTTGTGTGTGTGTGTGTGTGTGTGTGAATTATGAGAAAGTTTATAATCCAGTTGACCCAAGAGCAACTGAGATATCTAACTTGTGCAGTTGAAACCAGACATCATATCATCATATTAAATTTCCTTTTTTTTGGGACCAGCAGTTAGCATAATGGCTATGTCGCTGGACTCCCACTAGTCGACCGCGGTTCGCGTCCCGGACCCGGTGGCTTAAAACTCACACCGGGCGCGTGTGCGTGCGTGCCCAAGATCCCGAGAGGAGAACGGAGGAGAAGGGGTTGTGGCGTGGCCATCCCCCCTGGGGGGTGATTTCTTGCTTTCTGTCTCTCTGTCTCTCTCTGCCTGTCTGGTGAGCGCACGTGTTCTATAGCAAAAACCTCTCCAAAAAAAAAAAAAACACAAAACCTTTTTTTTTTAGTTTTTTAGTTTT